ACCCGCACAGGGCACTGGGTTTGATCCCTAGCACTGAAAAAAATTTTTTCTTTCTTACAAATTTTATCTCAAAGGGAAAAAAAAAGATTCAAAACAAATACTGTTCTCTAGGTGATGATCTATATACTACGTATTTAGGGAGAGTATACCTAAGTCTACAACTGACTTTGTTTTTTGGGGCGCTTAACCACTGAGACACATCCCAGTCCCCTCCCCTTTTTAAAAAAGTATTATTATTATATTTTTAGTTGTAGTTGTCAGTACCTTTATTTATTTATTTATGTGGTGCTGAGGATCAAACCCAGGGTATCGCACTTGCTAGGCAGTGCTCTACCGCTGAGCCACAACCCCAGCCCCTTTTTTTTGTTTTCTTAGGAACAAGGCCTAAGTTGCTGAGGCTGGCTTTGAACTCGAAATCCTCCTACCTCAGCCTCCTGAGCTGCTGGGATTACAGGCGGGCACCACTGCACCCAGTTTACAATTGAGTTTTTTGGGTTTTTTAAAATTTTGTTTTTTTAAAACAAAAATATGGACAACATGCCTTTATTTTATTTTTATGGGGTGGTAGGCAAGCACTCTTCCATTGAGCTACAGCCTCAGCTCTACAACTGACTTTTGTTTTGTCTTTGTGTTGGTGGGGATTGAACCCAGGGCCTTGTGCATGTGAGGCAAGCACTCTACCAACTGAGCTATGTCCCCAGCCCTACAATTGACTTTTAAATGCATCAAAATAATAAGACAGACAGATAGGTACATGATAAAGCAAGTGTAGGAAACATTATTGGTATAATAACTGGGTAGGTATACAATTTCATTGTAAAATGTTTTCAAATTTTATCTACGTTTGAAAATTTTCATAATAAATAGTGAAAACATGTATGCATCTAATAAAGTTTCCAACTACTGAAACAAAAATTGACAGAACTGAAAGGAAATAATAATAATGATAAAAAATTTGGCCACAATATCCCCAATTATAGTTGAATATTTTAATGTTCCACCATTCAATTCTAGTAATTGACATAAGTGGGCAGAAAGTTAAAAGAACTGAACAATACTTCTAACCAATTTGACCTAGTTGATAATTTACTGAACACACCACCTACCAAAATACTCATTCTTGTCAAGTACATATAAAACATTAAACAACATGTACCATATGGTGGGTTATAAAACACTTTTTTTTTTGGTGTTAGGGCTGGAACACAGGCCCTCAAGCAAGCTAAGCATGTACTCTACTGAGCTATACCCAAAGCCCCATAAAACAAGTTTTGGTAAATTTAGAAGGATTAAAATCACCCAGTTTGTTGTTGAAATTAATTTAGAAATCAATAGCAAAAATATATATGGACAATCCCTAAATATTTGGAAATTAAACAACATATTAAGTGATCTATGGATCAATGAAAAATCATAAAAGAAACTAGAAACCATTTGGAACTGGATGATAATTACAAAACAACATACCAAAATTTATAGGCAACAGTTAAAGTGATGACATAAGCTTAAATGGTTATGATATGGGGAAGAAAGATCTAAACTAATCTAAGTTTTTACCTTAGAAAGTTAGAAAAAGAAGTTAAGTTCAAAGTAAATAGACGATAGAAATAATAAAAATAAGATTGAGGACTGAGGGTGTAGGTCAGTGATAGAGTGCTTGCTTAGCATATATGAGGCCATGGGTTAAATTCCCAGCACTAAAATAAATAATAAAGCAAGAAAATCAATGAAATAAAAAATAAAAAAAGTAAACAAAAATCAATAAAACCCCAAATTAATTCTTTTTAAAAATATATACTTATAAATCTCTAACCAGACTGACAATATAAAAGGAGGAGTGGTACAAATTACTCATAAAAGGAATAAAGTAAAGCACATATGTACTTATTCTACAGATATTCAAAACACAGAGGGGAATATGACAAACAACTTTATCTCAATAAATATGTCAATTTAGACACAATAAAAAAAATTTTTTTTAAACACAGACTGCGGACTGTAGCTCTGTGGTAGCATACACATGCTTAGCATGCTCAAGGGTCCTGGGTTCAATTCCCAGAACCAAAAAAATAAATAAACAAATAAAATTCAAGCAAGATTTTTTGCAGAAATTGATAAGATGATTCTAAAATTAATATGGAAATACAAAGGAGCAAGGATAGTCAAAACAGCTTTGAAAAACCACCACAAAAGGAAAAGATTTCTGGGCTGGGGTTGTAACTTTGTGGAAGAGAGCTTGCCTACCGTGTGTGAGGCATTGGGTTCGATTCTACAAATAAATAAAATAAAGGTGCATCCACAACTAAAAAAATATTTGAAAAACAAAAGGATTTCTATTATTAGATTATAAGACTCAGTAATCAACATAGCATAGTACTAGAGCAAGGGCAGACACATAATGTGCATGAAACAGAATTCAGAATTCAGAAACAGACTTTATATATGGTTAATTTTTTTTTTTTAACTGGGTATTGAACCCAGGGGCGCTTAACCACTGAACTACATTTAATTTTGAGACAGGGTCTTGAAAAGTTGCTGAGTGTGGGCTTTGAAATTGTGATCCTCCTCCCTCATTCCCCTAAGCAGCTGGGATCACAGGTGAGCACCGCTGCAAAAGGCTAAAAAGCATTCTTTAATAGTAAAGAGAAAGTCATTATTAATATCCCCAGTCTATTGCCACCACGCCCAGTTGGCTATCTTTTCTTTTTTCTTTTGGTACTAGGGATTGAATCCAGGGAACTTTACTACTGAGCAACATTCCCAGTTCTTTTTATTGACTTATTTGTTCGAGACAGGATCTCACTATGTTGCCCTCAAACTTTCAGTCCCTCTCCTCAGCCTCCCAAGTGGATTACAGGTGAGATTACAGGTGTGCACTGGGCTGGCCTTCTGCTTGGGTTCTTAGTTGATGGGATGCAGAAGCTGAAAAAGCTTAACTACAAATTTTAATCTTGTCATATTTCTTTCTTAGTCAAGCACTATTTATCAAACTAACTCTTAACAAAAAAAAAAAAAAAAACAAAAAACAACTACCCATAAAATTGAGAATAATTTTAAGGGTATTATTGGGTGCAAAAATCATACAAAAATATTAATAAACGTTTTAAAATATGGTGCTGGAATTACAAAATGTTCAAAATGAAAGCATAAAATGGTAGTAATTTTCAGCAGTGAATGACAAATTGAGAAGGCATTAAAGAGCTAAAAATAAATAAATAAACAATACCTAGGATGTTGTGAATCAGAGATTGATGATTGGTTTTGTCATTTAATAATCATGTTTACTCAGTTCACTTTATTGAAATGAATAATTTAGTAAACAGCTGTCAAATTTTAAGAGAGTGAGTTTCTCCTTGATTAGGTAATTGATTTAGCCCTGACAATGGAACACTGTGCAAATAGAGCCACAATAACCAGTTACATTATTCTTGAGAAAAGCATGTGTAGTTAGGGGAGGGAGGTTCAACTTCCTGAAATCATCCCAAACTCAGCAGGCAACAAAAATCTGGTTAACTGGTTTCTGATTTATTAGTAATATTCTTTTCATGGAAACAAGTTGCTCAACAGATCACAACGTTCCAAAACCAGATCTGGCAGCTCAAATTTAGATTTAAAAGGCTGACAGGATTTTCTTAAGATGTCAACCATGGCTGGGGTGGTAGCAAATAAATGCCTGTAGTCTCAGCTACTTGGGAGCTGAGAGGAGAGGATAACTTGAGCCCACCATTTAGGAACCTAGGCAGTGAGACCCAGATGGGGTGGGGTGGCTTGAGATGCCAATCATTAAATAATTAAATAGTTTATTTAATGTACCAAGTAAAATTCAAATTATAGAGTTACTTATAGCTATGATTATTTACATTAATCAATTTTCTTACACTTAAACAGGAGAGTAAAACTTAAGTTATTGTTCAATAAAAGCATAATCTTTGACTTAACATAGATTATGTAAAAACTAATCAATTTTAGTTGAATCTTTAAATTGCTTTTTTGTCTCTCCTCTCTTGAATTCTTACTCCCAGGATTTAAGCAGATAAAAAGTCTCTTTTCAACAGGTTATAACGATAGTACAGCTTTAAAAAAAAAGCATTAAAACAACTATGCTTTAATAGTTATTAAAAACTTAAAATATTACAATTATTTTAAGACTAATAATACAGTTTGAATTCATTTGCATTGAAATATCTTTTGTGTACACTTGCCTACATTTAGTTTTCTCTAATATTAATCAAAACTAGCCAGGCGCGATGGCACACACCTGTAATCCCAGCGGCTAGGGAGGCTGAGAATGAAGAGTTCAAAGCCAGCCTCAGCGATGACAAGGAACTAAGCAGCTCAGTGAGACCCTGTCTCTAAAGAAAATACAAAATAGGGCTGGGGATGTGGCTCAGTGGTCGAATGCCCCCGAATTCAATCCCCGGTAATAAACAAACAAACAAGAACCTGAAGCAAATTTCCCAGCATTTGCCTCCAAGGGAAAACCTTTTCATCAAGATCCCAAAATGTTTATACGAAAAAGGATTATTGATAATTTTAAAGAACACACGAATTTGTCATCGTCAGGGAGCCAGGGAAACTCTGTCTTGTTTCGAAAAAAGTATAATAAACTGTCCGGTAAAGCTCAAAGGTCATCTTTTTTATTGTGCCCAGGGTGGTTCCCGGTTCTTAGTTTCTCTGTCACTCTCCCCGCCCCCGCGTCCCCCACCCACCCCCCCTTCCCGCGTACACTTTAGTAGCGTTCCTTCGGAGGAAAGGAAGCCTCAGTATTTTCAAACCTACTCTGGAGCCACCAAGAGTCCTATCTTCTTTCCTAGGGAGCAAGCACCTGGCAGCCACACGCTAGCGCCCACCTGGAGTGGGGGCGGCGCCCCCGACGGCTGCGGTGGGGATGGGGGATGGGAACCTGTCCCTTGCCCCGCCCCCAGGAGGTGACTCACTCCCGGCCCCGGCGGGCTGAGTCGAGAGGCCCCAGGAAGGGGCCGAGGGGCGGGGCCGCCAGGTGCCGCAGGTCTGTGCTCCACCCCGCCGCGCGTCCAGAGCGCTCACTCCTTAGGCGAGTTCCCACTTAAGTCCGGTCCACCGACGCGGATCCGCGCGCCCCAGGCCTCGCGCGCCCGGCTTTCTGAGCCCTAGTCCCTCCACCGAATCGCGGGACGACGCCGCACCCCTCTTCTCGACGCGCGCGCAGCATGGCGCGCCCCCAGGTCCTAGCGTTCGGACTCCTGCTAGCAGCGGCGACGGCAGCGGTGGCCGCGGCTCAGAAAGGTGAGATGCGGACCTGGAGCGGAGTTGCGCAGTTGGGCCGGGCCGGGCCGGGCCCGCCGGGACCTGGCGGCTTTCGGCGCCGGAGTCGAGAATAACGAGGAAGGGACCGAGAGCCCACGCTTTGCCGCCTGAAGACCGGACGGCGCGGGCAGCGCGCGGGTCCAGGTCCTCCGCACCGTGGAGGCGGTGAGAAGGCGCCCGCCCACCCGTTGCGGACCGAGGGAGCAGCCGCCCTTTGCACTTGTCTCTAGAGAAAGGAGCCGGGTTGGGGCGAAGGGGCAGGCGGGGATCCGAGTGAGCAGGTTGGGTTGCTCCTAAGGCCACAGAACCCGAACCTCAAGCTGGGGCGCGCCCACCTCCCCAGCCCCAGCCGACTTTGGATTTGAAACCAGTCGGGTCCGGTAGCGGAGCCTTTGTGGCCGCTGCTATTCTCCCGATAGCAGCTCCTCCCGAGGCACCTGCAGCGGGCCCCGGATGTGGGCCTCGGGCGGGGACAGGTAACTGTGAGAGCCGCTATGCACCTGCGCGCGGGAGACGAGCCATCTGGGACTTGACTACCAGACGTGTTTTCCCTTTTCTAAGAATAATATGAGCATAAATCAAGTTTGTTGTAGGGAACCCAGAAATAAAGGTAATTGCACGGGGTAAAAATCCCATAATCCCACCACTTCGAGAATCCCATAATTAATAATTGGGTATATGTCTATATGTCTAAAGGCCCCTCCTTTAGACGTTGCTCTAAACACTGCCCTAAATCTAGACATGTAGGTTTTTATATCTCCCCACCCCACTCATAGCATCCAGAGTTTTCCATTTCCTTTAGTCTTTAAAAGCAAGATTTAAATGGTGGGTGAACAATAGGATGGTCAGTATCCAAATGTTGGAATATCGTTTAGTTTGATTCCAGTTCTTCTTGCTCTGAAATAGATTGGCTGTGGTTGTTTGATTTATTTGTAAGATAGTATCTAGAAGTAGGGAAAATTGGACAAAGCTCTTAAGTCATGTTTTTCTACCTTGAATCTTGAGCTAAATACTTAATCTTAATTGCAACTTAAATGGGAAAATTAAAACCAATTGGAAACATGGGATATGAAGTGCTGATATAAAAATTCTTTTATTTGTCATGTGTTTTAAATGTTTGCACTATCTTAACTAGACAGATAAAGGGATTGGATGGGCTAGATGTAATATCACAGCACTGAGATCGAAGACTGGAGACTGGCCTGGGCAATTTAGTAGATCCTGTCTCAAAATAAAAAGGGGAGATACAGCTTAGTTCTAGAGCATCCGTGGGTTCAAACCCCAATACTGTGCCAAGAGGAAATAGTGGAGGGGCCAATTTGAAGTTAAAATGAACTTTCCAGGTAGTCAAGGATAAAACAATTAAACTGACATCTGTACCTCAATGAGTGTTTAGTATCACTTTGAGAATGGGATACTAGGGTTTGATGTAGTTAGGTAACAAAGATGCACCCACATGCAATCTAAAGTGTAATTTTTCCAAGATAGAAAATGTTCTAGCTGGGCTTGGTGGTACATGTCTATAATTCCAAGGACTCAGGAGGCTGAAGCAGGAGCATCACAAAGTCAATCTTGGCAATTTAGTGAGACCCTGTCTCAGAGAGAGAGAGAGAGAGGGAGAGAAAGTAAAAGGAAATGCTCTATGTTTCTACCAAGCAAGCATCCCTTAAGAAAATGGGGTAGAAGCCAGGTGTGGTGTTGCACACGTATAATCACATATAATCCCAGTGACTCTGGAGGCTGAGGCTGGAAAATCACAAGTTCAAGGCCAACCTCAGCAATTTAATGAGACCCTTAAATAATTTAGGGAGAACCTGTCTCAAAATAAAAGGGGGTAGGGACGTAGTTCAGTGTTAAATTGACCCTGAGTTAAAAAAAAAAAGGGCAGTAACTGAAAGGCAGGGATTAACAGGATAGAAGAAGGGACAGAGCTGAAAGTAGAAGTATAGCAAAGGCAGAGCTGATAATGACCTTTGGCGAGCTGTGTTTACCAGCATTGTGTAGCTCAGTGATAGAGTGTATGCTTGGAATTCTGGATTCAATCCCAAGCACTGCAAAAACAAAAATAAAAACAAAAAACAATTGTTTAAAAAAATTGAAATGGGGATCCCAGGATGTACTCAGCGTTAGAGGGCTTGCTTCGTGTGTGAAAGGCCCTGGGTTCTATCCTTAGTACTTCAAAAAAGAAAAGAAAAAATTGAAATGAGATCGAGTACAGATTAGGCTATCTGTGTGTGTGTAATGTATACAAGTTGTGTAGCAGGTGCCAGGCAGTTAGGAAGCACTTAAATTATAGCTGAAAAAACATTTAGGACCACTTGTTAAGATTTTGTGTCCCTGTCACTTGGGCATTACTGTCAGAACATCATTTAGTAAGGACATCAGAGTTGATAGTTGGATTGGATGCTGAGGCCGGCTTTGAACTCATGATCCTCCTGCCTCAGCCTCCTGAGCCAGGCTGGATCCACATTTTAAATTACATTTGTGGGACTGGGGTTGTGGCTCAGTGGTAGAATGCTCTCCTAGCATGTCCAAGATTCGATCCTCAGCACCACATAAAAATAAATAAGTAAAAGGTATCATGTCCAGCCACAACTGAAAAAATAAAATTGAATTTAAAAAATTATATTTGTATGTGTGTGTGTGTCTGTATGTATGTATGTAATATTTATTTTTATTTTCTAGAATGTATCTGTGAAAACTATAAGCTCACTACAGACTGCTATAAGAATGAAAATGATGAATGCCAGTGTACATCCATGGGTACAAAAAATACTGTCATTTGTTCCAAACGTGAGTAAAATACTTTTTTTTTAAAATATTTATTTATTTTTTTAGTTCTCGGTGGACACAACATCTTTGTTTGTATGTGGTGCTGAGGATCGGACCCGGGCCGCATGCATGCCAGGCGAGCGCGCTACCGCTTGAGCCACATCCCCAGCCCGAGTAAAATACTTTTACTACTGCCTTTAAGCTTATCTTTTTTTTTTTTTGGTACCAGGGATTGAACTCAGGGGCACTCGGCCACTGAGCCACATCTCCAGCCCTATTTTTGTATTTTATTTAGAGACTGGGTCTCACTGTGTTCTTAGTGCCTTGCCATTGCTGAGGCTGACTTTGAACTCTCAATCCTCCTGTCTCAGCCTCCCGAGCTGCTGGGATCACAGGAGTGCTCTTTAAGCTTATCTTGATAAAGAGTTTTTTTTTTTTTAATTGATATGCTTCAAATTGGAAAGGGTTTTATTGGCTCAAATCTGAATTGTTTTGTTTTGTCATAATTATCCTACATCTGAAGCGTCTTATCTTCAGCAAGTAATTAAGTGTGGGAAAATGGAAATATGAAATAATCTTTGGCCTGGGAGTTTAGTGTTAGATTAAAAAGCGTTTTTCCCTGGGCATGTAAAACTACAGTTATTTTTCAGTTTGACTTTAAACTTTCTTTTCAGTGGCATCCAAATGTTTGGTGATGAAGGCAGAAATGAATTCCTCAAAGTCTGGGAGAAGAGGGAAACCGGAAGGGGCGATCCAGAACAATGACGGGCTGTATGACCCTGACTGTGACGAGAAAGGGCTCTTTAAAGCCAAGCAGTGCAATGGCACTGCCACGTGCTGGTGTGTGAACACTGCTGGGGTCCGAAGAACTGACAAGGATACTGAAATTACCTGCTCCGAACGAGTGAGGACCTTGTAAGTGGAGCTGCCCGTATTACTGTTTTTTTGCTTTTCAGATTTATTAGTTAAGTTTGTTTTTGTATGTAAATATGATTTCATGGTTTAGAATTCAAAATATAGGAAAGGGTGTAACTCTTTCCATCCCATCCCAGGCCCCATTTTCCCAGTGTACCTGCCTAGAACTGTGTCATCAGCTTATTCCATCAGCTTCCAAAGAGAATATATGAATTTAATATGTAGACAGACAAATATATATAAATATTTTTTTGTGTGTGTGTGTGTACCAGGGATTGAACTCAGGGGTGCTTAACCACTAAGCCACATCCCCAGCCCTTTTATTTTTTTATGTAAATGGTAGCATACTAGGCATAATTTTCCTTTCTTATTTTCACTTAACACTGTTCAGTATTTTAATGTTGGAATAGTGTTAATGTATGTAACTTAAGCTATTTCCATATTTGTTCATTTATTGTGTTGTGAAAGTAAGATAGGAGGGCTGAGGCTCAGTGGTAGAAAGACCCTGGGTCCAATCCCCAGCACCAAAACAAAGATTGGTGGGGAGAGATGGTTGTCTCCAGGATTATTTAATGGAAAGGAACAGAAACACACTCAAGCTGGCTTAAGCTAACAAGACTTTGTTAGAAGGAGCTGGAAACTGGAAAGGTGTCAAGCCCCAAATCCTGACTCTGCAGTTCTTTCTTGTGGAGACTCATGGTCAATTTTCTCTGGTTCTTTCAGTTCCCTTTTGTCTTTTTTTACTTGAGAAGGGCCCAATACAGCTAGCTTAGCCTTCACTTTCATGTGACTTTATATGTTGTAGCCAGAGGCCAGAGGGTCAATATGAGAAAGGGTGTTCCCTCTGGATCGGTTCTGTATGATGGATGTGTGAGAATGAGGGAAAAAATTATGGGCATATTTAATTACTGCAACAATCCTTGTTCTGTTAGCTCTATTGTAATTCCACTTGAGAATTTTAGCATTTTTTTGTTTATTAGGAAAATAGTATAAAAGATTGAGTTATAGACCGTTGTCACTGTCTTTTCACTTTACAGCTGGATCATGATTGAACTGAAACACAAAGCAAGGGAAAAACCTTACAATGTTCAAAGTTTGCAGACGTAAGTGCAATTACACGGATCCTATTTCCTTTCAAAATTGCTTCTCAGATATTTTCATTCTGCACCATTAGAAAAACTAAATTTAAATGCCTTTTCTTACTTTCTAAAAAAATTTTTCGAAATAGATTTGCAATAATTGTGCCAGTATTTCCTCACCAGTTAACAATATGCCCCATTGTCTGTTAAGTGAATGCACTTTATATCTATCTGTGCATATACAGGTATTTTTCCTAGAACTACTTGAGAGCAAGTTGTAGGTGTCATGTTCCTTTCCCCTACTTGAGTGTATCGTTTCTTAAGAAAAAAAAAGGCGTTGTCATGTATAACCACTGTATGATGATCAAAGTTAGGAAATTAACCATAATCCCATATCATGCCAGTTTTCCCATTGATGTTCTTTGTAGCAAACTCCTCCACCTCATTACTGGGGATTGAATCCCAGGGTGCTTTACCACTGAGCCATAGTCCCAGTTTTTTTTTTTTTTTATTTTTAAAAAAATTTTGAGACAAGGTCTTAGTAAGTTACTGGGGCTGGCCTTGAACTTGGAATCCTCCTGCCTTAACCTACCTGGTAACTGGGATTACAGGTGCCACCACACCGGTCAGGGTTTGCATTTTTGATATGAAAACTATACAAGTGATCTTGTGTCCTTTCCAGTACTCACGTCAGAAGGTCCATAATGTTACCTTGTCCCTTCACTGGTAATGTTAATTGCTTAAAGTGATGTCTACCAGGTTTCTCCACTGGTAGAGTTAACATTTTCCCCTTTGTAATTAATAAACTGGGCAGATTCTTGGATACTGTGTGAATGTTTTCTCTTTCTGTTCAGACTGGCTCTCAATAGTTTTGGTAACAATGAATGATGCTAGCCTGAACCAATTATTATTATTGCTTGCAAAGTATCATGAAATTCTTAGCACTGCGGGGCACAGTGCCTTAGGGCTGTAATCTCAGCAATTCAGGCAGCTGAAAAAGGAAGATCATAAGTATGAGGCCTGCCTAGGCAACTTAGCAAGACCATGTCTCAAGAAATAAAAAGGATTAGAAATATATGTAACTCAATGGTAGAGCATCCCTGGGTTCAGTCCAGTAATAGCCCAAATAATAATACCAAGAGTAAAAATAATAAAAACTTTGAAATGATGACTGTAGACCTCAAGCTATCTGCTTAGTTAGAAAGCAGAGCTGCTTCTTATTGCACAAATTTTTTTTAAAAACACAAATTTTTAATTATTTACAGTGCAATTCAAGAAATGATGACTACTCGGTATCTACTGGATCCAAAATTTATCACAAATATTCTGGTATGATTTTTTTTTTAAATATATGAGTTTTATCAGAAAGTTGGTGGGACAATATTTATTGGGCATAAGGGCAGATGGTGTAGTAGTGGTAAATGCATTTGAGTAGCAACATAAGTCCTGGATACTTAATGTGAAATTCCTGTTGATATTTACCTTCTGTAGCCTTTGAAAACCCAAGTTTTGCTGTCTTATTCCCTTGGATAACTTCTTCAATTATTAGTGATAAATTTACTTAGTAATGGAAAAGAATACTTCTGCATGTAGATTACAGAAAAACAAACACTAAATATTCTATTGAATGTTGATATTTTCATATGCTTTTGATTATACTAATAATCTGTATTTTCTACTGTTTCCCTCAGTATGAGAATAATGTTATCACTATTGATCTGGTGCAAAATTCTTCTCAGAAAACTCAAAATGATGTGGACATAGCTGATGTGGCTTATTATTTTGAAAAAGATGTAAGTATAAACTTTATTCATGTGTTCAGAAATATAATGTGTGGGGCTGGGGTTGTGGCTCAGTGGTAGAGCCTTTGCCTCGCACATGTGGGGTACTGGGTTTGATCCTCAGCACCATATAAAAAATATAAAAATAAAGATATTGTTTCTGTCTACAACTAAAAAACAATATTCTTAAAAAAGAAAGATACTGCTTACTAAAAAAAAAGAAATATAATGTTTGTCATGCTTCAGTGGAGTCAAGATCTTTTATTACCTTTTTCTCCACATGTAGTTCAACTTTCTCTCTGATTCTTAGAATCAAGTTTGTTTTCTTGGTCATTCATATACACCTTTCTTACTTGTATGTATATTTGTGTGTCTATCAAATTTTTCTGTCTAGATTATTTCATCTTCTTCCTCCTCTTCCTCTTTTTTTTTTTTTTTAATTGTAGTGCGGAGTTCAAACCCAAGTCCTTGAGCATGCCAGGAAAACAGTCGACCACTGAGCATACCTGCTAGCCCTCTTCTCTCTCATACTTATTATTACCTCCCTAGTAGTTACTTTGGGTGTATATTCTCCCCTATTCAACTAATAATTTACATGGGCCAGAGTTTACATTTCTAAAAAAGCTATGTTAACTGGTGTGATTGAAATGTTTTGTTTACAAAAAGTTTTGTTTAAACTTTTATGATAATGAGATATTTCTGTTGAATCTGAGATTTTTTTTTTTTTTTTAAATCCGGACTTGAGTGGGGTACAGGGATAGAAGGACAAATACATGAAATAAGATTGGTTATATGTTGATATTTTTTAATTTGGGTGTTAGCTTCATTATATGAATCTGATTTATATGTGTTTGAAATTTTCCTGTAATTTTTCAAAGATTTCAGTGGGTCAGATCATTATTACTGAAACCATAAAGATTCTTGGCAGCAGTTCTTTGGTACACAGTTGGCATGTAATTTAATTATAAGTGACTGAAATTGGTTTGCTTAGATGTTTTCGTTTTTCTCCTTTTTATTATAGGTGAAAGGGGAATCCTTGTTCCGTACATCAAAAATAGACCTGAGAGTAGATGGGGAGCAACTAGAACTGGATCCTGGTCAAACTTTAATTTACTATGTTGATGAAAAGGCCCCTGAATTTTCAATGCAGGGCCTAAAAGCTGGTATTATAGCTGTCATTGTGGTTGTGACAATAGCAGTTATTGCTGGTATTGTTGTCCTGGTAAGTACAGAATAAGTAAAAAATTTCATTTAAGGATATAGCTTTTTTTTTTTTGTACTGGGGATTGAACCCAGGGGCACTTAACCACATCCCCAGCCCTTTATTTTTGCATTTTATTTAAAGACCGGGTCTAACTGAGTTGCTTAGGGTCGCACTAAGTTGCTAAAGCTAGCTTTGAACTTGTAGTTCTCCTGCCTCAGCCTCCTGAGCTGCTGGTATTATTACAGGCATGCATCGCTGTGCCCAGCAAGGATATATTCTTTTACTTACATTTTTTTGCCCCCAATATTGGGGATTAAACTCAGGACCATATGTATATGTTTAAGAATATATTCCTTTTTTTCCCTAAGTACTAGAGATTGAACCCAGGGGTATTTTACCACTAAGTTGCTTAGGGTCTTGCTGAGTCTGGCCTTGAACTTCTGATCCTCCTGCCTCAACCTCCCAAATTGCTGGGATTACAGATGTGCACCATGTCATGGGCTTTCAGATATATTCTTAAAAGTTAAGAGCTGTGGGTGTAGTTTATTGGGAGAGTGCTTGCCTTGCATCCATGGAACACAGGGTTTGATCTCTAGCATGGCAATAAAAGGGAAAAAAAGTTAATTAAAAAAACTGCAGGGCTGGGGTTGTGGCTCAGTGATGGAGCACTTGCCTTGCGAGGCACTGGGTTCAATCCTCAGCACCACATAAAAATAAGTAAATAAAGATATTGTGTCCACCTACAACTAAAAAAAATATTTTAAAAAATAAAACAAAAAAATTTGCTTACTGGGCATAGTGCACACACCCATAATCCTAGCGTCTTGGAAGACTAAGGCAAGAGGATTGAGAGTTCAAAGCCAGCCTCAGCAATTTAGTGAGGTTTAAAGCAACTTAGCAAGACCCTGTCTCAAAATAAAAAAGGGGATAGGGATGTGGCTCAGTGTTTAAATGCTCCTGGGTTTGATTCCCTGTTCAAATTCCACATTCATGTTCTAAAACATATTAAATAAAGCAAAATTTTTATCCACCCCCGCTAATTTTATAATTCTGTAGTGAATGAATGTCAAGCAGGGTGGTTCTCTTCTGTAATCCAAGCAACTTGGGAGGCTTGCTCAACATCAGTAAATTTCATCAACACAACAGAATTCAGAAATAGATTTGAGGGTATGTAGGAACCTATATATTTAAATTTTTGAAAAAAAAATTTTCAGTTATAGATACAATATTTTGTTTAATTTATTTATTTTTATGTGGTGCTGAGGATTGAACCCAGTGCCTCTCACATGCTAGGCAAGTGCTCTCCCACTGAGCCACAACTGTAGCCCTATATTTTTAACTCAGTAGAGTAATCCTCCTCTACTTCAATAAAACAAACGTTGAATTCCTATTTCACCCCACCAGGGCACAGGCCATGTTGCCCAACTGTGTGTGACAGGTGTATTTAGAGCCTAGTAACGCGAACGGAATAGGCAGAAAGATAAGTTTCAAGAAAATTAACTTAGAAAATGTTTCTATAACTTTGTGATAAGGAAAACCATCTAAGGCAAGAAATCTAAAATCCATAAAAGACTATATCTCTATAAGTTAAACTTTTTTTTTTAATTTCTTTTTTTGGTACCAGGAGTGTTAACTACTGAGTTAACCACATCCCTATCCTTATTTTTTATTTTGAAACAGGGTTTCTAAGGTGTTTTGGACCTTGATAAGTTACTGAGGCTGGCTTTGAACTTGCCATCCTCTAGTCTCAGCCTCCTGATCTGCTAGGATTATAGGCGTGTGCCGCTGAACCTGGCTGAGCTGGAACTTTTGATCTTCCTGCCTCAGCCTCCTGAGTATCTGGAATTCCAAGCATGTGTCAGCATGATTGACTTAAAATTAAATGTTTGTGACATTTTGTATGTCAAAAAATATTATAAAGTAAAAAGTGTGAAGCTGGGCCCCATGGTCAAACCTATAATCCCAGGTACTTGGAAGGTTGAGGTTCCAGACTCGCCTGGGTAATGTAATGAGTTTCTATATTAAAAAAAAAAAAAAATCAATGATAGACTGGGAAAAATATTTATGATTCTTAAAAAATTGATATTATGCATAGTATGCAAAGAGATCCTACAAATTGATGAGGAAAAAAAAGGGATGGCAACTGGTATAGATATACAATTTATAGAAGAGTACTTTCAGATAGCAAAGCCAACACAAAAGATTCATAGAAATCTATTCGTCCTGTAGAAATGAAATTACAAGTTGCAAAAAGGAAGCACAAAGTTTGTCTTGCAGTGCTGCTTTTAAGGCTGAATCTGGAAAATAACCTGAGTGTATATTAGCAGGAGGATGCATGAGTAAATAGCAGTATTCCATGCTATGCTCTGTTGTCAGTGAGTTCAGTCTAGCTCTTTTGATCTGGAAGATCAAAAAAATCTGTTCCAAGATGGAATTGATATAACATGATCCCATTTTTAGACCCCCAAACTTACATACATGTGTTTCTGTGTTTGTTTTAATATGGAAAAAGAAGAATGTACATCAAACTCTTAAATTGCACTAAAAGATGATTCACTGTTTTCTTGATATATTTTTTGGTTTGTTTCAATGGTTGTGGTGCACTTTTTTTAGGTTAATAGTCAATTTTTGACTTAAGAAACATATTAATAGAGTTTGAAATTGTTCAGATGGAATTATGGTACATTAAAAGCACATACATCAATCTAGACTTTAATGTTTGAGTAGCAATACTAAAGTAGTAATCATTTATCTCCCTTTCAGGTTATTTCCAGAAGGAAGAAAACAACAAAGTATGAGAAGGCTGAGGTAAATGGACTGCTATGTAATTTTTAAAAACCCTGTTTAGTCTCTCATTCCTTAGTAGTAATTGTTCTTTTCTAGATACTGATGGATCTCATTTATACTGAAGGTCCTTAGGGTCTTAGGGACACTCCTTAGGGTCTGAGAATGAACTCTTACCTCTTAATGTATGAGTTTCATGGCAGACCACCTCATATTGAATTCTGCTTCACTAGTGTCAACATTTAAAGGAATCTTTTAGAGCCATATTCTAGTGGAGTCATATTAGAAAAGCTCCTTGTGGTTAATGATCTGATTTATTGTGTCTGTATCAATAAGTAATAATAATTTAAGATGAATTTAATTTGTCATAGTAAATCTATTACATACTAACTAGTTCTGCACACTGGGGTGAAGTCGGTTTCAGATTGTTAGTGTGTTGCAGTCACTTGGAATTGGATGTGGACATATTTGTCCTTGAACTCTTATTAATAACATTTTCTGCATATTCACCAATTTTTGTATATTTGCATATTTATTTGTAGTTGTATAGGTGCCACTTATTAATATTTTATAAAATAACAAAAACAAATGTAAAAGAATATTGAAAAAAATCTAATAAAACCAGAAAGTTCTAACATTTTCTTCCTGTTCCATAATAGATCATCTGGCTTATCTAATTGGGATCATAGGCCCAGGAGACTGTCCCTGAACTGAATATTGACAGGCAAAATGATATAATATATAATTAAGAGCAATATAGACCTGGGTTTGGCCACTTACTAACTAGACAGTACAACTTCTTTAAACCTCCATGCTTTCTTAACTGAAAAAAGGAGATAATAGTACAGACCTGCTGTCATTGTTGTTTCAGTTCTACCCCTAATTAATAGTGAGATCTGGGACAGGTCACTTAATTCTGAACTTCAGTTTCCTGCTAGGCATGGTGGCTCTCGCCTTTAATCCCAGCAATTTGGGAGGCTGAGGCAGGATGATTGCAAATTTGAGGCTAGCCTCAGCAATTTAATGACACCTTGTCTCAAAAACAAAGGAGGGGGCTAGGAACGTAGTTCAGTGATAAAGTGCCCTGGGTTCAGTCCCCAGTACTGCTCTCCCAAAAAAGAACTTCAATTTTCCTCACTTATAAAATGAAAGATCAATAATAGAAAATGATGCTGAGTACAGTGGCACATGCCTGTAATCCCAGTGGTTTGGGAGGCTGAGGCAGGAGGATCTCCATTTCAAAGCCAGCCTCAGCAACAGCAAGGAACTAAGCAACTCAGTGAGATCCTGTCTCTAAATAAAAGAGAAAAAAGGGCTGGGGATGTGGCTCAGTGGTCGAGTGTCCTGAGTTCAATCCCTGATACCACCATCCCACCCCTACCCCCTGCAAAAAAATAATATGATTTGATTCTTCCTTGGTATAAAAATAGCATGCATTTAGTAAAAATCTTGTCTGTTCTTAAAGGTCTAGTTTATTCTTTTCCAAAAAGTCAACTTTGGCCATTTTGATTCGAATAACAGCTTGGATAATGCCTGTAATGTGTTTCCTTGTAATATAACTTTCTCTTTTTTATTTACATAAATGAGTCATTCATTTAAAAACCTAAATAAATAGGTTTTTTAAAAACTATTTTACAATGAACAACATTATTTTAAAATTTCTGTACTTTCCCCCTCTGTTTCAGATAAAGGAGATGGGTGAGATGCATAGAGAACTCAGTACATAACTACTGTAATGTGAAGATTAACTACAAGAAAGGAAGTTATCAAAAGAACTCAGATTACGAACATATGAAGATGGAAAAAAAAGGGAGACCTTTGAGGGTTACTATTTTGTTGGTTAACATCATATATTTGTAATAATTAACTTGTACTTACAATATAAGCAACTTGAAATTGGCATTATCAATCTTAAAATTTGACCAGTGTCTTACATGTGCAAATCTAATAATATAAAACCAGGTACTTTGGCTGAATAGGTAAAATTATTTATGCTTAATATTGAAGAGTGTGCATTAAATATGCTTCCACAGTAGTGTTTGAATGATTTGTGATTGAAACTGCCTTTCTATTTACTTTGACACTTGTACATAAACTTTTTTTATGAAGTATGAAATAAAACATTTTGAATTTCCTAACTTTGTTTGAATCAAATTTTCTAGCATTTACCTCTGATAAATAATTGCTGAGGATGTAGCTCAGTGGCAAAGTACATGCTTAGCATGCTCAAGGCCCTGGGTTCAATCCCCAGCACCAATAACTAAAACAAAACAAAAATGCTCTGAGTGCTAATTACAAGTTAGAATTCTGCATAAATATTTACATGTGTAATATATAACACATGACAATATAGAACTTTTACATAGAAAAATAATTTTATTCAGAATGAATCTTAATGTTCTGTTTTTTGGTCTTGTGTGTTGAGGAAGAATTGATGGAGAATATTGTAAATTATTACTATGGTTGAGTTAGAGCAGCACTCAGTACATGCTTTATCAATCTATCTAGTTTTTTTTTTTTTTTTTCTGGTACCAGGGAGTGCCATATCCCTAGCCCTTTTTATTTTTTGAGATAGGAGCTCACTAAATTGCTTAGGGCCTTGCTAAATTGCTGAGGCTGGCTTTGAACTTTTGATCCTCCTGCCTCAGTCTCTGAGCTGCTGGTGTTACAGGCATGTGCCTCCGCTGCTTGGCCCCGTTATCAATATCTTAACATAATAAACAATTATGGTTCAAATGCGGGCCTTCACATCAGTACTAAGAAAGGATCCTTTCCTTCTGCAGTGCCTCTCTAGTGCCCTCTGCTGACTAAGCTTCAGATCCACTTTCACAGAGCAGGCAAAAAAAAAAAAAAGGGTGAATTTTATTCAGGCTTGCCCAACTACCTGTAATCCTAGCGACTCTGGAGGCTGAGGTAGGAGGATGGAAAATTCAAAGCCAGCCTCAGCAAGAGCAAGGTGCTAAGCAACTCATTGAGACCCTTTCTCTAGATAAAATACAAAGTCGGGCTGGGGTTGTGGCTCAGTGGTTGAATGCCTCTGAGTTCAATCCCTCGTACTGCCCCCTCCCCACCCGCAAAAGGGGAAGTTTGAAAGGGGCAATAAATCACTAACTGGCACATTCTTCAACACATTGCTTTCTAGTCTGTCCTATTTCTTGTGAATATATTCTTACTAAGGTTGACGCTGACTAATTAGCAATGAATATTCTCCAAGGTCTGTCACTGTGCTGAATGTTCACTGATTTCTTCTGGTTATTTTTCTCTTCCATTGACCATATCGATACTGATGTTCCCAGGATTTGTCCTTATTTCTTCCACCATGCGGCCTGTGCAATGGTTTCATTAATGAGGTTCTTGGCATAAAAGTTAGCTAGAAGAGATCGAAATAAAACACACAGACTCAGTTACCTTATTTCTATTGCCAGGTCCGAGACGGCTCCCCTCTCTGGCTCCAACCTCTAACCGCCCAGCAGGGCAGCAAGGATTACTCAGGGCTAGCAGGAGAGAGCGAGCGAGCATGCCAGGGAGTAGCCTTTTATTGGGGAACAAGAAATTCAGGGGATAATTCCATCCAATGAAGGTTGAGGGGGGGCCGCACTCCAAGGTCAGGGTCAGTGATTGGGCCCCCGGGGTCAGTGGTCAGTCACACCCCCACACGGACGGGTTCTCTCATCAGGAGAGGGCCGGGAAAATTCCACACAGCCAGAAGCCTCAGACCCAAACCGGGAGTCACCCAGTCACGCGTGAGAATGGCTCCCCACATATTTCTGTCTTTCCTCCTAGAGGACTTCATCCATTCTCTTGACTTAGTTACCATCTGACTATATGATAACAGATGCACAATTACCATTTCTGTTCATCTTAAATTTTAGACTGTTTCAATGATGTCACGTCTTTCTCCATAAACCTTTCATCTCTCCCTCTTTTTCCCTCCCTCCCATGAGAGGGTCTCATGCATCTTAGTCAAGTGCTGTATCATTGAGCTACATCCTCAGCCCCACTTTATTGTTTTCTCAAAATCAGTTAATGCCCACACCATGAACCAAGTCCAAAGTTCCTTTCCTTTTCACCTCCATTCTTCTAGTTGCCAGACCCTGTGATTCTCCTTCAGAAATGTTTTTCTCTAATGTCTTAAACATTTTCACTGATCTCTGCCACCAATTTATTGCATCTCTCCTGAACAATCTAGTGACCGAAAATTATTTGCCTAAAGTTGTTTTTCCCCCCAATTCTGTATATAGAACCTCATGTATGCTAGGCAAGCATTTTATCACTCAGCTATATCCTTAGTCCCTTGCCAGTTATGTTTATAAATTCAGTTTCCCAAGTGAGATAGGGAATTATATGAAACTTAAGTAAGACACAATTATTTAATATAACGTAAGAGTTTATCATCAGCAGTTAATACATCTATAGGGTTGAATAAACAGATACTGTTAAAACAACCTCTTATACAAAATGATTACAAGCACATATTCAATTCTAATTTGAAGCTGGTCTTCAAGCATGCCAAATCCTCAATGACATTTTGTAGGAAAAAATATCTGGAATCATCAGCTATCTTCTAAGTCTAGTTAAAGGTCATTGTCCTCTGTCAGGGCTAATAGCCTGCTGGATGAATTTTCTAGACTTTATGCCAGTTAAAGTCTTACCAGAAATGGTAATGACTTCCTCAACAGGAACCATATGTAAAAAACTTAAAAAGTACCACACAACTTTACTGGGCCTGGTGGTGCATGCTTGTAATCCAGCAACTCAGATGCCGAAGTAGGAGGATCCCAAGTTTGAGGTCAGTCTCAGCAAGTTAGCAAGACCCTGTCTCAAAATTAGAAAAACAAGAACTGGGGCCGGGCACAGTGGTGCATACTCGTAATCCCAGCAGCTTGGGAGGCTGAGACAGGAGGATCACAAGTTCAAACCCAGCCTCAGCAAAAAGCAAAGCTCTAAGCAACTCAGTGAGACTCTGTCTCTAAGTAAAATACAAAATAGGGTTGGGGATGTGGTTCAGTGGTCAAGTGTCCCTGAGTTCAACCCCCAGTACTGCCCCCGCCCCCGCAAAAAAAAAAAAGAAAACTGGGGATGTTGCTCAGTGGTTAAGGCTCACTGGGTTAAATCTTAGGTACCAAAAACAAACAAGCAAACAAAAAACAACTTAGGAGTCTGAAACAAGAGGATCACAAGTTCATGTGCCACCTGGACAACTTAGCAAAACCCTGTTTCAAAAAATACAGAGGCTGGAGATATAGGTCAATTGGGAGAGTGCTTGCCTCGCATGCACAGGACCTGAGTTCAATCCCCAGCAGCATCAAAAAAAAAAAAGGGAGCCTGGTGCAGTGGCTCTGGAGGCTGAGGCAGGAGGGTCATGAATTCAAAGCCAGCCTCAGTAACAGGGATATGTTAAGCAACTCAGTGAAACCTAGGCTCTAAATAAAATACAAAAAGGCTGGGGATGTGTTTCACCGGTTAAGCACCCCTGGTTTTAATCCCTGGTACCAAAAAAAAAAAAGGGCTGGGAATGTAGCTCTTTGATAAAATACACCTGGCCTGAGTTCAAACCTCAATACCACAAAACAAAACAACAACCCCCAAATCAGTAGATGTTGATAAAATGTTTGCCACTATTACTTATTATTTTGTATACTGGTGATTGAACTCAGGGGCACTCAACCACTGAGTTGCTTAACACCTCACCGTTGCTGAGGCTGGCTATGAACTTGCGATCTTCCTGTCTCAGCCTCCTGAGCCACTGGGATTACAGCTGTGTGCCACCATACCTGGCACCAATATTATTAACTGTGAATAAACATACATAAGTATCATCTCTGTCCTTTCCAGGTGTACAGTAAGAAAGGCAAATATATTCCTAAAACAACATGGTAAATATTGTAATAAAATCTAAGAATTAAGTGGGACATTGGAGGAAAATGCAAATAATTACACTTGTGGAAGCTGAGCAGGCTTTCCTAAGATGTCTGAGTTGAGGACAAGAGGAAAATCCAGAGTGGGCAATACAAAGGACTGGGGAGGGCTAACTGTGTGAGGAAGTCACAAGGTGCAAAGGAAAGGAAGTTCTTGGCCGCAGATCAGAGTTAGGGAAAGAAGAGGGGAATGTTGCCAAGTTAGCCACGATGCTGGGAAGGTCATGTGCAATCAAATGGTCCAAACTTTCTTCAATTATCCAAAGCATTTGAATTTTAACCTGTAGGCCATTTGTTTCTGAATTGAACTGATTGTCAAGAATACTCAAGAAGCTGATTTATTTTTGTTTTTATACTTAGGGGATAGAATCCAGGGGGCTTTACCCCTGAGTTACATCCCTAGCCCTTTAAAAAATAATAATAATAATAATTTTTTGAGACATTATCTCACTAAGTTGCCCATGCTGGCCTTGAACTTAGGATTTTCTTTCCTCCTAGAAATTCTAAACCTCCTAGAATTGCAGGGAGTATAGGCATTCACCATCACTCCTCCAGACCACAGAAACTTTTTAAAAAAGACTGAAAGGCCCTTTCTTCCAGACATTACAACTCATTATAGGTGAGTGGGACTCAGATATGTGTTTGAAAAGCTGCTAGGGTGATTTTGCTGCAGAATATTTTGGGGCCCCTTCTTTGGGGGAAGAGTGACCACTTAAGAGTGCGATACTTGTAAGTATGGCCTTAGGCCTTAGCCTGAGCAATTCCATTTTAAAACTCCATTTTAAAATAAACCTTCAGGGCTGGGGATGTGGCTCAAGCGGTAGCGTGCTCGCCTGGCATGCGTGTGGCCTAGGTCCGATCCTCAGCACCACATACAAACAAAGATGTTGTGTTCGCTGAAAACTAAAAAAATAAATAAATATTAAAATTAAAAAATAAAATAAAATAAACCTTCAGTCTCACTAGGCAAGCCTACAAAGCTCTCCAATATGTCATCAGGCATAGCCTGATAAAAGCAAGTCACTTTCCACAACCCTGGTAAGAGTCAGGATGAAGTCACATGTCATTTGTTGTAACCCTGATAAGAGTCAAAAGTGTAATATCAGGGCGGAAATCACCAAACCATATGTCCTGACTCTAAATGCAAGATGTCACTAAGAAACCTGGTGAGGGCTGGGGAATGTGGCTCAAGCTGTAG